CGGCTATGGGCAGCTTGACAGTCTTTCGCGGCGGCTCCGGGGCCGGGAAGACCGACGCAAACGACGCAAACCACAGCCGATCCGAGCGGACCAGACCAGACCAACACGGACCGGAGCAGACCCGTCGGTCACCGTCAGAAGGACCGGCTGGACTGGGTCCGAGCCGCCGACTGACCGGCCGGCCCGAACACCGCGGGTCCGCTGCCGCTGCCGAGCCACCTCCAATCAATGGCGCGCTTGGCGGCGCACCGGCTTCACCGAGGGCACAGAAAAGCCGGGGGGAGGGGGCGAGGGGGGAGGGGGGCACGCCGGCACGCAACGGAACCACTTTTGCTCTTCCACAACCAGCCATGTCATTGATCAGACTGGCAGACCAAGAAGTGAATGTTGTCACTTGGAATATGGTGATGTCACCATGGGGCCACTGAAATCCAGTTACTTTTGTTGAATGGTTGCTAGAGGGTGTGCTCCACTTCCCATCATGCATCTACTAGGGTCATCACAAATGAATCATCAGCTAAAATGATCATGACATTGATCTTAATATGGTAGAGTACATCACAATCTTGCCAATTTATGCAAAACTGGTCTGTGCATTCATTTAAATCACAAAATCTCTCCACAAATTTTCTAAGATGTTTCAATTTTTACCATGAAGTATCTCTCAGTTGTTCCAGCTTTGATGACACAATTTTCCTGCATGCTGTTGATAGGCCTCGATCCTCAAGGTGGAGCATTCTTGAAATGACACCGTTATTTGCATTAAGGAAAGCTAACCACTTGATGATACCAAAGAATAATCCAATTGTGATCACCTTTCAAACATTTCTTGTCTAATGGGATGCCTGAAAATTGAATGTGTAAAATAAGGAAGCATATAATATATAACATGATATATAATTATATGCTATCTTATCAATATAATAAGTGAGCAGGGTGTATGTGACTTCCTCCTGCCACCAAACATGAAATCCTGTGTTGCTCACAAAAATAATCACAACAGTGCCCTGATGTAGACCAAAGATCACATGGCTAAGCATTCAGGTATTTTCAACAGTGCACTAAGTAGATGTCAATTGAATGTCAATGATTTTCACCCACCTTTTACATCAATCATACTATGACCATTTCAGTAAGGCTCATAACCACTTTTGGTTTCTAAAAACAGCCTACCTATTTCTGCATAAATGCAAGTTTGAGCTATTATACAATACAGGAGCATATATGTAGTTTCCTGACACACATCTGGCACAGACTTCCTTTAGGTTGCATGCCCTTAAATCTGTTTGTCAAGCTTACCTGACAGAAAGGAACCATAGATGGGTGATCATCCAGGACCTCATTATGTGTTTGTGCATCCTTTGTCAGGATTAGCACATAATCTGTCAATAAAGAGAGGACAACAATTAACATGCAATATGCATTGTACTTGCATTCAAACACATCCACACACCCATGGCTAATCAAGGCAGGTGCATAAAAAGGCTATATAACCAGTCTTCAAGCACCTAACATATCAATTTTTGATGAACCCATGGCCAAGATAATGACATTTTTACCAAGCTGCCCACAAAAACATAAAGCATTTAGTAGAAAACATTGTAGCTTAGTCATGACTATTGGAATTCAATGAGTCAAAACATTTTATCATAAAAGACACACCATGCACAGAGCTGGCCAGAAATTTGGCTTCCATCTTCATTACTGCTACCAGGATTAGATACTGGACAATCTATCACACCACATACATGTGTTCTGGAATCTGGCAATAATTCTGCTTGGCTTGACCAAATGCCTGAATAAAAGGTCTTTTCAGTGCAATACCCAACCTTCTCTCTGTTGCCAACATTATTGACATTAGCCAAAAGTTAACATAACACTAACTGAAAACAATCACATCATGTGATTAACGAATCCCAACATGCATGTCTGTTGTTGCAGCAAATGTCAGGTTGGCCCACTGTACAAATGCTGGCAAATAGAAGTGACCAGAGGCTCATTAAAATTACATTCAGGACAACATTCACCAGACACACATGACAAGAAAGCATCAGTGATGTCAGGAATAAATGTCAATGCAAGTATCCTGACTGCTCACTTTTTAGTTCCTTCAACAGTGGGATGTGAACTGACATGCTTCCAGTTGTTCCAGAAGTAGCCTATAAAAAAAGAGCATGTCAATGTTACTTGCATCAAACACTGCACCATTTGAAATAAAGTAGTTCAACCATCATATTGAATCCAAATGCCAAATGCAAATAACCCCAGCAGGTCTATATATACATGCCAGGATACTCAAGATGTGCATGTGGACCTGGATTCATCCATGTTACAGATGGAGGGGGCAGTTCTTAGATGGGTACAGCAAAAGTTCAGCAGGGGAGAGAGCTGGCAGGGGAAGTTTCAGGCATCATCATGCTGTATTCTGAGATGGTTGTGAACCAAGCTAAAACCTCAAGCTCAATGCCCTTAACAAGCCCTAGAGCTAAATTCCACTATCTGTGTCTCCTGACAAGTAAAACACCTGTTCTTTGCGTCACATATCTAGCCGTGATGGGCTGAACAAGTGCTATTTTTCTGAGGCACTACCTCAACACGGTAAAACAGCGCGGAACCAGGGCAAGGGCCGAAGCGATATGTGCCAGGTGATATCGTCTCGACTACGCACTTCTCAGCAAGAATCCTTATGTGACGTCACAGGGGGTACATCGTTCAAGCTGGAAGGACCGCACGCGCGGTAACGGACATGGAGAATCGCATGTGCTACAACACGTTGGTGGGTGAAATGATTCGTAAGATCAATGTAAATTTAATCTAACTAATCATCTTCACAGTTATGCCTGATTTGGAGAGTAACTGAAGAACCAAGGCTGTAATACAGGACACTGAAAGAAAGCTAATGGAGGACGATTCATCGCGTTTACGCCAAGGAAGCGCTTCACGTATGTGTGTATTTATGATTTCGAAAGCATCAGATGTGGTCATACTGCAACCCCTGGGTTAACAAGTTTTTGTGCATTACAACTGCAGCCCTCCAGGAACATACCCCAAGCGGATCCACGGAATTTCTGAGCACCAGCTGGGACTTATATTAGGCCTTGGTCTGGCAGATCACCCGACTGGACAAATGGTCATATCGATGTAGCCCAGGATGGTGCACCAAAATGAGTGGGGGCATATATCTCACCTTCCTGGCCGGCCTTTGAAGAGCGGGTCGGGTATAGCAGCGCAAGAAGCTAAGATGTCCGAAGCTTCTCGGCCGGGGCTCCCCACCCGGACTTGGCCAGGTGCATTCGCGTGGCTCCATCAAATGGGCAGTCAAGTCAATGCACATTGGGGCCTAGTCATTCACTAGAGCTGGGCCCTGACGATTTCTAGTTTCATGATGTGAAAGGTGCCACTGGTTTGCTCCACCTCTGCCCAGCAA